TCATTCGGACCCAAGCCATGTGTAGACGCGTAATCTTTGATACCGTATCGTATTCCCCGTTGTGCTTTTTTTGTACGAATGAGGACCGTAAGTGGTCTCGAATCTTATTTTTCAAATTTTTGAATTTATTCAAAGGGTAGGGGCTCGACGTTTAGCGACCGTTTCGCATATGCCCACGGAGACCTAACAAAGTCAAACGTAGGCAATACCGCGCAACGATCCGTTATTTGGAAGTCTCGTACGATTTTGTCGCGCCCCCTTTCGCGCGAGTCAAGCGAAAAAATAGCGCGAAGTGATCGAACGTACAAATTTTGGACTCACTACTCTCTCAACAACGGAGAAATAGTCACCTGGACTCCTTCACTAAATGCAGTGAAGACTGACTTGCCGGATATTATGTGTTCCATTGTGGTAATCATGCGGAATGACAAGGATTGTCTATGTTCCGATTTCCGCATTTCAAGCTCCACTTACTTACAAGATACCTTTTTTTACTCTGCTTTCAAAATGCAACTTGTAAACGCAAAATGTGCAAAAGTGAGGGCGAAATAATGATAACTTTCTACATGTCAATCTACTTTTGCGCTTTTCATGATATGTTCATATTTATAATAATACATTCATGTAAATATGTGTGATTGTTTGATTACGGTAACCTATTACTATAGGTGGACCGGAGCTGGGCAGGTGTGCTGCTACGATTTCGAGGGATGGTTGATGCATTCGGATGACTATGAGAACGCTGCACATCTAAGATTTTTCAGCCCCGGAACTGCTATGAGGTACGTTCGGTTATGTTGGTCACGAGACGATGTGAGTCGGGTGCTTCTGCGTGGATCACAAGCAGCCAGCCAATGAGTGGTACGCTCATAGCGAGTTAGGCGCCGAGTGATTGGCTGGTCGTTGAGATCCATACCGGAGCGCCCCACCCACTCCACTTTTCGGCCAGTCCCTTGGAGACCTCATTTTCTTTGTTGTTTGTCAGAAGATGATTTTGAATCGCTTTCTTCTTAAATCCCGTGCAAGCTTGTTTTTCATCCCAAACCCTGACACCTCATTATTTTTTATTTTAGAGCACATCCGATGGGTTCGTACCCATTCAAACGTCCACCATATGTGCCATCGCTGTCGAATTTTCATACTGATATCATGGCGTACGAGAAATGCTGCAAATGGGCGGGCGCTTGCGAGTTCTACTTTTGGCGACGACAAACCAGTGGATGTCAGGAATACATACCACCAGTGGCAGGTGCCCAATTCATGTCCTTTTTCTTTTGCTTCTTTGAATTCTATCAACGTGACAGTTGAGGCTCCTTTCACTCCTTTCACTCCTTCTCTTTTTTGTTTTTTCCTTTTTTTAAATTAGTACACAATATAATTGCTGTCACTATAGAAGCTGGGAGTTTTCGGGTTTCATCTAGTAAGGGGGTATGTGGTGCCGTCGTTCCTGCCGCCTACAGAACGTAGGTGTCTTCCTACTTCCGCAGGAAGAGGAAGACACCTACGTCTGGACGGGAGGGGAGGTTAGAAGCCATTGAAAACAGAAGTTTAAACTGCTAATATAACACTAGGACTAAGCCCAGGAGAGGAGAGGAACGTCAGAGAAAACAAAAAGTGCTCCTTCCCCAGAATCATTTCACCCCAGTTAGCTTGGTATCAAGTCATTTAGTAGCTCTTTTACCCCCCCCCCCTCAACGCCATGAGCGTCGGAAGAAAGTCCCCGGAGTGCGGGGACCATTTGGCTTCCGCTTTTACACCCACACCGGAGCTGCCCTCTGTGCAAAAAAGCTGAATTACTTTGTGCGATATGAACTGCCGCATCACACGCTCCCACCCTTACTGGGTGGGACCCCTCTTTCAATTAGAGAGCTTTCCCAAATAAAACTGAAAATATTTTAAGCTGAACTTGTTAGGAGAGTCACCAAATCTTATAATTCAGGCATAGCTTACGGTGATCCGCACTTCGTCACTTATGATGGAACTCGGTACACCTTTCAAGGGAAGGTTGGTGTCTTCAGTTGGAAATTTGTATTATATTTTCATGGCTCGATCTATTTTTTATCCACGTTTTTTGTAAGTTCGAGAAATATACCTACCCTAAACATTCAGGGCTATTATATCCTCACGATGAGCAAAGATCCACGACACGATTTTCATGTGCAGATTCGTATGGAACAACCACCAAAAACGGATTGTAAGTCTTGCTTTCTCCGCATCCTAACCAGTCAGTGCAGTCATGTGCAGGGCCTTATGAGGGCTTAGGGTCTGACTAATGTTTGATGTGTTAGATAATGCGCCATAGCTACTGAGAGTATGCTATTGTAACACAGTGGAATAGCTCAGAAATGTGAATGATGACGATATTTTTTTACTTGATACAGTGGGAAGTGGCTGTGTTCTCCAAAGCATTCCTAGGTCTTCTGTTCTGCGTATCTGGTCTATTTTGGCACTATACAAGGAGCAACTTTCACTTTTAGGCCCACGCATCCGTCCACTATGAAACAAATCATTTTTTCTGTCTCGTGCCAATAGGCAACGTGAAGGGTTGCGTTGGTTGAAGGTGCAATCCATGAGTGGGCGGAGTTGTGAGGCCCGTTGCCACTTTGATTATTTTTTTCGCCACTTTGGGGGAATGCCAGCTGGCGAAGCTGATCCAAATCGACTTATTCCGGATAGGGCAACATTCCAAGATGCATGGGAACTCGTTCATTTCGTGATTTATGCCTTCAAGTGAAATGTGGGGAAAAAGCCCATGTAGTAAATCCCAAGCTGAATCTGTAGCTGTTTTTCGAGTGTGTGAGCTTTCACAGTCATTCGTTTTGTTTTGCAGTTCATGGGAAAAACTTACACCGACAGTTCCCCAAAAATGACCTCTTTAGGGAATCAAGAAGTGCACGCGTCCGTTATCACTGGGGTGGCAGCTCGTGAGAATCAATCGGATATCGTTCAAGTATTCGCTCGGAAGGAGTTCCGCAGGTGAACTGTTTTTTTTTCATAGCTACCCACTCGGTCCTGACACGGGTGCACGAGTGAATAGACGACCTACAGGCGGCTTCCGTTCGAGAGCACCATTAGTAATTGTTTCCTTCTAATCACCAAGAATTTCTTTCAGATGGCGCTACCGAATGGATGTTGTGGTGAATGGACATTACAGATATTTCGACACACCCGAATTGAAAATGCAAAGGTTTAGAGGTAACCGTTCATACTGATATTATATGATCAAGCCACTCATGCTTGGTCGTCGTGAAGTTGAGTTAGGATCCAGTTGGGCAACTCCTTTTCAGAATGCGCCATGCATTCTCAATTCTACACAGTCGTTGTGTTGTGGCATCTGAATTCGACATTACCGAGGTGAATAGTACTGGGGTGGGGATAGCCTATTCACGAGCCCTGACTTCGTCCCATCAGGCAAGTCCGGTACCAGCCAATATCAGCTAAAACTGGAGCTTTAGTTGGCTCGCGCAAAGTCGATGTGGGATTAGAGCCTATGAGCATGAGCATAGTGTGTAGCATCGCTTCCCGGTACGCCACCCTGGCCCTACTTTAGATTCCCGGCTATTTGTACTGCCACAAAGTCCGAGATATACAGAGACAAATGGAGTCGAGCTTACCAAACGATTATCCTTCATTATGTGGTGCTGTGCTGCTTATGTTCCGTGGAGGCTTCATTTCGGACAGTCTCAACTTGGACCACTAGCGTTATTAACGTTAGCGTCAAAACGTTATTAGTTAGCGGGTGAATAATTTGTAAAGTTTTGACTCTCAAATCCAATTTTCATAGGAAGAGAGTACTGAAACTCGTTGGGAGACTTGTTGAGTGGGAGTGGCCTAATTTCTCTTGGACAGACGTGTTTGGAGCCCGACATGAAGACGCAACAAAGCTTGCATTCTGTGTATTACTAGAAACAGTTGTGCTCTGCTAATCTTCTCAGAAATAGCCGAGAATTTCAGGAGCTTCCAATTGTGGCTCTTTGAGCCTTTTCAGCGGAAGGATTTCGCATTCGTGGGAATTCTATTGGTTCATAGAGTGCGATGCCTGGCAAGTGGCGAAATTCAGGTGCACGATTCGATTCACCGGAAAGGAATCACAAACGTCATGAGAATTATTCACGTTAATGTTCGACTCGTGTGGTGCTGGCCTAAGAGGTTGCAGAAAGGCTCACGGAGCTGGCAATGTCGTGGATGACCAAAAATCCACCGGATTTCAATGCAACCTATTGCGGTCGAGCTTGCAATTGGTTTGATATTTATTGTCATGGCGGTGAACCTTCTATGCGCCAGATGTCAAGATCCTTGCGAATCGGCATGTTCGTTAGCATCGCAGATCGCATTGCGCAGGTTACCACCAGACCCATCGAGCGATTAGCTTGCCGCGACGCGGCATTTTTGCAAGGTCTGGACATTGGCCATAAATCAATAAGTCGTCACTTCGTGGGGCCAAAAGAAAAAGAAAGGAGGTATGGGGTGCCAAAAGCCTACGAATTACCAATGAGCTCCGCATTACGATTTCCGAATTTAGGACCACCCTAAATGGAATATCTTTTCTTAGTCCTATTGCTCGAATAACGTTCTTTCTTACGAGGGGAGGTCGTTCAGGGCGTGGAGCGCTTTTTGAAAACGGTTTTTTGCATGAAATAGGGGCAGGTGCAGTGAACACAGATCTATGGTCCATTTCCGCTAAATGGCCTTCTGAATGCCAAAAAAGGAGTGAAAATCATTTTGTTGGAAACTGCAGTTTTTACTTGTTAAACGTGGTGTGTTTCATTCATGGCGTCAACTATAGGCATAGTAAAAGGTCGTAGTGAACTGTGCATCGAAAATAACGTGAGGTTTAGCCAAAAATGGATCCTTGTCATGCTACATGCTACGGAGTGTGCGGGAGATTCATAACAGCTATCTGCAGCTTGGATGTCGGCAGCGACGGATGGCTTAGCGGATAGTGCTGTGGACTGGAGTTGGCACGAGTGGACTGGGTTGGTGGTTCGGATCCTCCGCGCGCGAATTTTTTGCATTTTATGCTGGCACCTCCATCTTGGCTCCAAACTGCACCAGTGCCAAAATGACCCAACCTCAGTTAGATCTAAAATCTGCATGGATTGTCGTGACCAGGAGCAGCAATGACCCCGTGCGCTAGGTTTTCACTGAAAACTGGCTAGAAAATTGTATCTCCAGAATGAGAATAAATGACACCAGCAACTATTCGTATGTGTGATCAGCGTGGACAACCCTCGCAGAGCAGACCACGGGATCATTTAGGATTTGCTCGATGTGTAAAATTTTCCATTTACTGCGAACAGATTATTAACACGTGTGGTACAACTCTATAAAGCAAGTGAAACATAGCTGTTTGCCGCACCAGCTGCACTTTACGAATGCCAAGGAAGAGCAGCTACCGATCTCTTGGCAACCGCCGACAATTTCACCTCCGTTGAAACCGTAATCAGCCGGCGTCGAAAAAGCTCCTGGATGGTTCGCCGACGCATCCTGCAGCCACCCAGGCGTACGCTATGTGCTCGCGATTTAGGCGAACAGCCAGGTGTCGAACTATGGCGTACGACAGCGGGAGTCCAATAAAACATGTCGTTTGGCGCACTTTATCAATGTTTACATTACTTCCTAGCTCGGGGATTCAAAGTGAAACCTTGTTCGGCGGCTTCCAGTACTTGAAGAAGAGCGGAGAGGCCGTTCAAAATTAGGCACTCTTGATTCTTCAACCCATTCCTGGGTGAAAAAAGGAAGTTTACAAATTCAACCTAATCACTTGCGAATTTTTTGTGTTTGCTTTTGAATACCTCCTTTTTCGATCTCGCGGAGCAAATACATGTGCCGTTCAGTTTTGATCCACTTGAACCGGTTGTTCATGGAAGCTAACGTTTTCCCTTGTCAGCCTCGCGGTAGTGAGCAATGGTTCGATCTGCGAAATACACGATTGCACCTTGAGCTTTCGTTACAAAGTGCTACAACTAACAGCATCGTGAGGAATGGGCCTGCCGTCGAAGAAAACAGTCCTCCGTGGTGAAATAGTAACGCTGCTACGGTCATCGTCATCATCTTGTGGAGTCCAGCAAGCGTCTTCTCTTTCATCGAAAGTTGCCTGTAAACTGCAGCACTTTAAGAAGCTCGGACCTGTTTGTTAACAGTGCGACGGCTCATAAACTCCTTATAAAAGTAACCTGAAGCGTCTCTTCTTCCTCGTCGTAGTCTGCGCCCTTAAGTATTCCTCTGAAGGCGTCGGCAATTGCGATTTCTTTTCTTGTAGGATGAGAAAAATCGGGTACCCACTAGAGGAGAAAAATCGGGCGTGAACGACGATAGAAGGCGGCCAATAACTCTAGCAGGTGAGAAAGCCATGTCGAGATCAGAAATGGTACACACCACATATTCTTCAGATGTGACTGTAGGTTGCGGTACATCATCACTCGCACAAGCATGTACGAGCGTGAGTATTTCCGTCGACGACCATCCCGGAGCTTCCGGTAGCTGCTCTTCCTTGGCATTCGTCAAGTGCAGCTGGTGCGGCAAACAGCTATGTTTCACTTGCTTTATAGAGTTGTACCACACGTGTTAATAATCTGTTTGCAATAAATGGAAAATTTTACACATCGAGCAAATCCTAAATGATCCCGTGGTCTGCTCTGCGAGGGTTGTCCACGCTGATCACACATACGAATAGTTGCTGGTGTCATTTATTCTCATTCTAGAGATACAATTTTCTAGCCAGTTTTCAGTGAAAACCTAGCGCACGGGGTCATTGCTGCTCCTGGTCACGACAATGACCAGTCAGACACTCATTTTGGCACTGGTGCAGTTTGGAGCCAAGATGGAGGTGCCAGCATAAAATGCAAAAATTTCGCGCGCGGAGGATCCGAACCACCAACCCAGTCCACTCGTGCCAACTCCAGTCCACAGCACTATCCGCTAAGCCATCCGTCGCTGCCGACATCCAAGCTGCAGATAGCTGTTATGAATCTCCGCACACTCCGTAGCATGTAGCATGACAAGGATCCATTTTTGGCTAAACCTCACGTTATTTTCGATGCACAGTTCACTACGACCTTTTACTATGCCTATAGTTGACGCCATGAATGAAACACACCACGTTTAACAAGTAAAAACTGCAGTTTCCAACAAAATGATTTTCACTCCTTTTTTGGCATTCAGAAGGCCATTTAGCGGAAATGGACCATAGATCTGTGTTCACTGCACCTGCCCCTATTTCATGCAAAAAACCGTTTTCAAAAAGCGCTCCACGCCCTGAACGACCTCCCCTCGTTGAAGGTGACAGTATCTTTTACGTTAGAAATTTCGTAGAGCGTGCAGTCGAATTTCACGGAGCAATAATTTATTATGAGTCTCTTCCGGTTTCCGATTTCCGAAATCAAGTTGTACCTGTGCAACCTTCAATAGTCTCCCCAGGCAAGCTTGGCCAGAACCAGGTTTACCTCAATGGGCCCAGTCCTAGGGATTTGTATATTAAACTTCTCCATAAAAGTGAAATACTGTGAGAATCCGTGTCTACTGCAGAACTATCGTGGCGCCTCCTATCCCGATGGTGATGACGATTCCTGGTTCGGACAGGCAGCGTCAGCACAGCAAGAGTTTCTCAGATCTATCTCGCAATCACAGCCATCTACGCTACAGTATGTGGCAGGTATGGTCTTAAGAATACGGCAATGGTAGGATCTATGATGGAAAAAATGAAATCGGTTCCAGGTGGTCAACGTTTCATTACGGTCGGACTTCTTGGCACGTTCAATGGAAATCACTTGGATGATCTGATGGCTCCAGACGGTCATATCACCATAGTAAGCCATCCACCGACTGAGCAGGACAATATCAACGCTTACAAATTTGGGTCAAGATGTGAGGTTTCAAAATGAAACTACCATTCTTCAGTGCAGCGAAGGAAGTCACCAGTATTATGTGCTAATGGTTGATCACTTGGCTAGATCGTTGCTTTGCCACATCTGACCCTTCCTTGGTATCAGTTTTAAACCAGGTCCATAATACTACGGAGGCTAAAGTATATCTATGTGGATTCTTAAATTTCATATTGGGCAAGCGCCCTCAGAACCTCCTGGAATTGAGCGTCCGTGGCGCATCCGTTGGAATTCTTTCTCTCAGAGGAGCTACGACCCGAACGCTCACATTCAGTGGCAATCTCTCTTACACCCGTTATTGCCTCATCCTGTCAACTTGTTTTCCGTTCAAAAACCAGCTTCTATGAGAATGATGTTTGAAAAAATTCAAAAAGATGTTATCGACCAGCTGATCTGTGGTGCGCCACATATTCGACTTTACTCGGTGTCGTAGAGCAATTGAATTGTATATTTGGGCTACACAATGAAGTACTGTTACCAGACAACATCGCAGTCATTTTTCTTCCTGTAATATCGAGGTCCAGAAGGGTGAAAGTCTCAGCGAGTCTGGGACACGTTCGGTCCAGGGACTATGCAGACGGCAGCGGCGCCCCCTACCGCTGTGAAAAGGGAATGAAGCATTCGATATTGAGCAATCCTTGGGATGCGGCACGCATTCTACTTCCATTTGTACATTCGTAGTGGCATTTGAATGCGATGTGGCCTATACAATGACTTGCGGGGGCCAGCCGATGTACAAGTCAGTGTTTTTATCCTCCCAGACAAGTCTGGTACCAATTAACCGACCCCGGAGGGATGGAAGGCTTGGTTGGCCCGGGCGACTCACGACCCAGGATTTGATCCCGGACCGCTCGCGTGGTAAGCGTGCCACTTGTCACTACACCACTTCCAACCATCTACCGCTGTGATATCCAC